CATTTCCCCATGTCTATGCCGGGATGTTGTCTTGGTTGAGCTTAGATTGTACTCATGAATATTGTCAACATTGCTGTGAGTTCATATGAGCTATAGAAAAAAAAAAGTAGAAATAAAACTGGTACTGATTTCAGAGCTTTGTTTACTGGCAAGCTTTCCTCGTGCTGGAAGGTTCTATGTATGTTATCAAAAGAAAATGAATTAATCATTAACCTTACCAAGCTGTGAACCCTGTGTGCTTCAACAACTTGTCTGCTAATATATTACACCCATAGATAATCCATCTCTCACCTCTTACCAGAGACATTTCCTAATGTAGCAGGTGGTGATTAACAGAGAAAACCACAAGTGACCAGTGTGCAGAGAACAAAACTTCAGAGTGAAGATCTCTAAATTGGATATCTGCATCAAAATTTTTTCTTCCAAAGGCTCAGGGGTCATGACAGAAGATGGCACAAAAAGATTGCAAGGCCAGAGTTGGTGGATCATCACAAGGAAATAGATTTCCAGACATCTGGGAAGTTACTCATATGAATTCACTGCAAGGGGTACTCAGTCAATTACTAATAAATGTTTGTTGAATTTTCAACTCAAATTGTCAAATATTAAAGTATTTAGTGAATATGTTTTGAATTATTCAAGTACTTTTCATAGGACTATCAATGAGTAAAAGATAATTAAAGACCTATTATGATTCCTTGTCATATAAACTAGCAGTACTATTCAATTATCAGTATTGCAATAGATACAAAAGAAGAAAAAAAAATCTGCAAGTACTATTACCACAGGGAGAGATTTGGAGATTGTATCTTGTATACTTTAGGTAGGTATAGTAGCTACCTAAACATGTGAAAGCTAGCTAAACATGTGAAAATCATCCAATAGATGTTTGTGAGTGTCAGATCATTTAGAGCATTTGTGCCAGTTAGTTTTCATCAACTTGACAGAAACCTAGATACACCTGGGAGGAAGGAATAACAACTAAGGAATTACCTCCATCAGACTGGGCTATGGTCATGTCTATGAGGCATTTTTCTAATCTCTAATAGATGTAGGAGTGCTCACTCTGGGAAGTGTTATCCCCAGAAAGGTGGGCCAGAACTAAATAAGAAAAGTAGCTGATCAAGTCAGAGGAAGCAAGCCAGTAAACACCCTTCATCAGGGTCCATTTTCTGTTTCAGCCTCCAAGTTTCTGCTTTGAGGTCCTGTCCTGACTTCAGTGATGGATTCTGACCAGGGAACTATAAGATGAAATAAATCCTTTCATCTTCAAAATTTTTTCAGTATTGGCTTTTTTACCATGCCAACAGAAATCAAACAAATAAAATTTCTCATCATTATCTGAGAAACACCTTTAGGACTGACATTTGCTTTTAATTCCACCTCAGTATTATAAGCTGTGTTCTGATTGTCTCTTACCCAGAGTCTTCTTTGGTGAACCAACCATCTGCTGCTTTTCCTAATTTTAAATTCATTTTGCTGGAGTGCCAACAATCATTCAGTTTTCCAGATAACAGTTGTCATAGTGGGAAAAATATCTACTTTCATGTGTGTAGGCCCAAAATTACTCATTCTTCTGAAAAGAGTGGGTGAAGCAGGGCACCCTGGAAAAAGGGGTGGAGCCATGCCATTTTGAAACTCTGGGGATAAAACCAAAGGCTGTGGGCAATCAGGCATCCCACAGGGATGAGAAAGCTGAGAAAGCTGATGGAGACTACAGGTGGGCTTGAATGGCATGGCACGTGGGTTATGAGAAGCCATTTCTTTGTAAGTCACCCCCTCCCAAATGTCATATAAACTATGCAAAATTCAACTAGAACTGGATTAGGTCGGTTTTATTAACCAGTGTCAGACCCAGGAGACTCAGGGCCAGTCTCCCAGAGGCCAGGAAAGGGAAAAGTTAGTGAAATGATGTGAAAAGTCCAGAATTATAACAATGTCAAAAACTAGGAGATCACATATATGATGGTTTGTTGGAGGCCAAGTCTTAAGTGTACCCCTGCCCCAGTTTGAAACAACCAGGTGGCCTTGTAAAAACATGTTTTTCTTGCCCTGATTTACTACATTTTACTTCCTTATCTTGTGAAACCACCAGGGCTCATGACTGTAGTAGAAATTCCCCAGCAGGGCCTTGCCGCCTTCCACTCCCCCCGCCTTCTCTCCACCCTTTACCTTCCCCCACCCTCCGCTTTACTATATTAACACTGTGTGATTGCTCAATAAAAGAGACTTGATCAGAATACTGTCTTGTCTCCATTTCTTCGTGCCCCCTGCCTATTCATTCCTCCAGGTTCAGTCTCGGTGCCCCACGCTGTTGCTCCGCGGGTTGGGGCATCTTGGACTCCTGATTCTCCTTTTTCCACCTCCCAAGTGCTATGACAATAGGTGTATCCCATCATGCCCAGCCTGCATGTAGTCTTGAAGACTCCACGAAGTCTTTCCAGAAAGAATATTAGATATCATACTTGACACTAGGGTCTCCAAAAGGGAGATATGGAGTGGCAGTTTCCAGCCTTAAGGATGGGGCTTGGAGGCTGGCATTGTCATTCTGCCTGCTTTGTTTTCTTTTGTTTAATAATGTGTTCCCCCTGGAAGGGACAATCAACCAAAAAAGATGGAAAAGAGTAGGTGATGCACTTCAGGATTATTATCGGACCTTTGGACCTGAGAAGGTTCCTGTAACTGCCTTTTCTTATTGGAACCTTAAGAACCCGAACAGACCAACGTTGGCCTCTCTGAGGAAACTGAAATCGAGCCATCTGAGGGCCCAGGGCCCTGTGATGAATATTACAAAAGAGGGAACATCTGCAACAGGCTGCCTTCCCCCCCCCCCCCCGGGGCCTCTTAGCTCAGATACAGAATGCCGCACTCAAGGTATGTCGGCGTCTTCCCCCTAAGGGGCCCGCCACTTCCTCGCTGGCTAAGGTATGCCAAGGGCCGGATGAGTCATACGCTGACTTTATCAGCTGCCTCACCAGCGTGGCCGAAAGATTAGTCGGGGAATCTGAAGATAGTGCCTTTGTTAAACACTTGGCCTATGAAAATGCTAATTCAGCATGCCAAGAAGCCATCAGGCCCCACAGGCAGGGCCCTCTTTCTGACTACATTAAACTATGTTCAGGAATTGGGACAGCCCATGCAATGGGCCTCACGATAGGAGCTGCCTTTCAAAATTTTACTAGGGATAAAACTTGCTTCAATTGCAAACAACCTGGTCACTTTTCTAAAGAATGCCCTGCTGGGTCCAGAGCCCCATGCGGCTTGCCCAAGACCATTTGCCCTAGGTGCAAAAAGGGGCGCCATTGGGCCAAGGAAGGCTGCTCTAAAACTGATAATGAAGGAAAAACCCTAGCCCCTAGGCAGGGAAACTTCTCACGGGGCCAGCCCCTGGCCCCATCAAAGGGATTGAACCCTGGGGCTATCAGGTTCACCCCACCAGCACAGATCAGGAATTTAGCTCCCTCCTCAGAGTTATCCCTGGGAGTACCGGATTGGACCTCTGTGCCTCCACCTCTACAATATTAATTCCAGAACTAGGGTTTCAACTCATATCCACAGATATTTTTGGGCCATTTCCACCTGAATTGACAGGATATGTAATAGGCAGAGGAGGCATGCTCTTGGAAGGTCTCCAAATAGCCCCAGGAATAATAGATAATAGCTTCACTGGACAACTTGCACTTTTAGCCCTCTCCACTCTTGGGCCCATAAAAATTAATCAGGGGGACTGGATTGCATACCTCCTACTACTCCCTGCCAATACAGATGCCCATTCTAGTA